TTTTTGCCTTTTTCTTTCCTTTTTGTGGAGAATGGGGTCTTGCTATGTTGCCCAGGCAGGTCTCAAACTCCCGGGCTCAAGCTATCCTCCCACCTCTGCCTCCCTAAGTGCTGGGATTACAGGTGTGAGCCACTCTGACTTATAATTTATAAGAAAGAACAAAAATTTCATATAGTCAAATACTGGCAGGGTTGGGGAAAGTGATGAGGATGTCTTAGACAAGATACAGAAAGTGCTAACTATAAAAGGTTGATAAATTCAATCTTATTTAAATTAAGAATTTGTTTCTTAAAAATCAGCTTAAATTGTGTGAAAAGATAAGCTACAACTAGAAAAAGATATTTGCCATACATACACTCTATGAAGGATTAGGATCAAGAACATGTGAAAAACTCATATACCTATAAGAAATATACAATTCAATAAAGGAGCAAAATACATGAATAGATATTTCATAGATGAAGAAATATATATGGCCAGTAAATTTATAAAGAGATATGCAACCTCACTAGTAACCAAGGAAATAAAATATCAAAACCACAGAGACATGCTATTTTATGTCCATTTGATTAAAAAAAGTTATAAAATGTTAGTGACATGGATCAATAAGATCTCTTATACACTACTGATGAGATTGTAAATTGCTAACACCACTTTAGAAAACAATTTGACATTATCCTGTGAAACTGGACATTCAATATAACCCTTTTTTTTTTTCCTAAGAGACAGGGAGGGTTTCACTATATTACCCAGGCTGACCTCCTGGGCTCAAGTGATCTGTCCACCTTAGCCTCCTGAGTAGCTGGGATTACAGGCCAGCTTCAATATAACTTTTTAATCCAGTAATTCCACTCCTAGGTATCCTTCACCTCCCACCTCTCCATCCTATCCCAGGGGAATTCTTGCATGTGTGCCTCAGGACATATGAATAAGAATCTTCATCATAGCACTGTGTTAGGCCATTCTGCGTTGCTATAAAGGAATACACAAGACTGGGGTAATTTATAAAGAAAAGAGGTTTTAACTGGCTCACAGTTCTGCAGGCTGTACAGGAAGCATGGTGCTGACATCTGCTCAGCTTCTGGTGAGGCCTTGGGCTGCTTACAATCATGGCAGAAGGCAAAGGGGGAGCCAGCATATCACATAGTGAGAGTGGGAGTGAGAGAGAGTGGAGTGACATTTACTTTTAAACAACCAGAACTCTGGAGAACTCACTCACTATCACAAGGACAGCACCAAGCCATGAAGGATCCTCCCCCATGATCCAAATGCCTCTCGCCAGGCCCCACCACCAACACTGAAGATAACATTTCAACATGAGATTAGAGGGGACAACATTCAAACTATATCAAGCACTCTTCAAAATAGCACAAAAAGTAGAAAATATTCATAGCCCAAATCAAAAGAAGAATGGATATATACGTAGTAGTATATTCAATATAATGGAATATTTTACAACAATGGAAATAACTATAGCTACTATGTATGATAACATGGAAGAATCATAGTAACACAATAAATGAAAAATGGAAATCTTAGAAAATTATGTATAGTATGTTGTTCGAATACAAGTTTGTATAAAGTTCAAAAACAACCAAAATGAAAATAATACACTTTTAAAGTATGTGCGTGCACACATGTGCAAGCACACACACATATGAATTCTTTAAAATTCTTTTAAAAATTCTTTTACAAGGCAAGGATTGTTAAATGCTAGATTCAGGATATCTATGAAGGTGGGCAGTAGACAGGATAGAGGAGCAGCATTTAGGTAGATGTAAATTACTGGTAATTTTCTATTTGTTTGAGTGCTGGATTGAGTGCTGGGTTCATGGATATTCATTATGTTATTAATAAATAATAAATGTTGAAGGGCCCATATATGGACCATTGATGATAGTATACCATGAATTAAGGATTACTATTAATCCAATTCTATGTACCCAAGTTCAAAGAGAAAATATATTAATCATAGTGATCATTTATATAGTGCTTACCATGTGCCAGACACTGTTCTAAGCTCTTTATATGGTTTAACCCATTTAATCTTCCCAGTGAGGAGAAAACCAAGGCCCAGAGAGGTTACCAGTAACTCGTCTGAGGCCCATAGCAGAGCTGGGATTTAACCCAGGCTGGCAGGCTCCAGAGTCTGTACTCTTAATCATTACCCTATAAGGTGTCTAAATAAATAAAAGAGATAATTATATTAGGACTTAGTCATGAAGAAGTTACAGCAGAGTGCTTTCTATAAAAATATGAAGGGGGAAACCACATGGACAGCTCTGTAAGGATGCTAAACCCCCTGAATTATATTACTTTGGATGGGTAAACTTTATGGTATATAAATTATATCTTAATAAAGCTGTTAAAAAAAAACTTCACAGACCACAAATAGTGATTCTGTAACACAAACTGGTCCTGAATGATTGTTTGCTACTTTTGGGATTTAATATTTGCCTAAGGGTAAAAAGATACACTTTTTCTGCAGACCAAACAAAATAAACCTCACTGTCAAGACACTACTCACTTTATGGAGGAAGATGAAATAGAAAATTTTAATCTGCTATTATCGGTGGGAAAAAATTTTCAATTCCCAGCTTTAGCCTCTTTTTTGCATCTGCCAGGAAATTGGATGGCTCTCAACTCCCAAGATAAATTCCATATTGCAGTTGTAATCGTGTGTATATTGAGGATACACAAACAATAAAACCTAGGAAAGATAAGGGTGGAAAGAAGACATTTGACTGAAAACATACACATAAGTTTAAGATGCCAGTATGTTTTCAATCTTTATTAAGCTTAATTTATATACCATAAAGTTTATGCATTTAAAGTATACAATTCTAAAATTAGCTGGGTGTGGTTGTGCATACCTGTATCCCAGCTACTTCAGAGGGTGAGGCAGGAGAATCCCCTCAAGCCCGGGAGGTGGAGGCTTCAGTTAGCCGAGATTGCACCACTGCACTCCAGCCTAGGCAACTGAGCAACACTCCGTCAAATAAATAAATAAATAAATAAATAAATAAATAAAATAAAGTGTACAATTCAGTGGTTTTTTAGTATCCTTACAGAGCTGCTCTGATGCTCAGGGAATCTGCTGGTAACTTAACTCTGTTTTCTTTTTCTTTTTTTTGAGATGGAGTCTTGATCTGTCGTCCACGCTGGAGTGATATGGTGCCATTTCAGCTCACTGCAACCTCTGTTTCCTGGGTTCAAGCGATTTTCCTGCCTTAGCCTCCTGAGTAGCTGGGATCACAGGCGTCTACTACCACGCCTGGCTAATTTTTGTACTTTTAGTAGAGACACGGGGTGGGGTTTCACCATATTGGCCATGCTGATCTCCAACTCCTGACCTCAAGTGATACACCTGTCTTGGTCTCCCAAAGTGCTGGGATTACAGGCGTAAGCCACTTTGTCCAGCCCTGTTTTCATGACCACCAAAGATCCTCCTCACCTAGGTCAGCTCTCCTCACAAATCTGGCCATTGATCACAAAGAGATCAAATGAAAGCTCAGGTTGCACCTTAACAATTCCATCATCAACAGCAAAAGAAGGGTTCAAAGTCCTGGCCAACTAAACCATGGGTCACTTTTATCCTTTTACACATGTGCCCTCTCTAAAGCACATATGTAAACAGAGGATAAAACCTAACTTGGTCAGGTACTGTGGCTCACATCTGTAATCCCAGTGCTTTGAGGAGGCTGAGATAGGAGGATCACTTGAGGCCAGGAGTTTGAGATACGCCTGGGCAACACAGCTAGACCCCATTGCTACAAAAAATTTAAAAATTAGCTGAGTGTGGTGGTGTGTGCCTGCGGTCCTACCTACATGGGAGGCTGAATCGGGAAGATTGCTTGAGCCCAGGAATTTGAGGTTGCAGTGAGTTATGATTGCACCATTATACTCCAGCCTGGGTGACAGAGCAAGTCCCTGTCTCTAAAACTAAAACTAAAACAAAACAAAACAACAAAAAAGAAAAAAAGAAAAGAAAAAACTCACTAAGCAGCTTTATGCTTTAAAGCAGGAGTTCCCAGCCCCCAGGCTGTGGACCAGTAATGGTCAGTTGCCTGTTAGGACATGGCTGCACAGCAGGTGAGGGCAGGGGAGGGAGCATTACTGCCTGAGCTCCACCTCCTGACAGATCAGCAGAGGCACTAGATTCTCAGAGGAGGGCTAACCCTATTGTGAACGGAGTACGTGAGGGATGTCGGTTGTGTGTTCCTTATGAGAATCTAATGCCTGATGATCTGAGGTGGCACAGTTCCATGAAACTGGTCCCTGGTGCCAAAAAGATTGGGGACCACTGCTTTAAAGAACACAAAGGATTTTCAGGTAGTATCTGCTGGGAGCCAGGGAAGGGGGTAATTTTGGGGGCAAGAATACAAAGGAAATGAAAACAAATCATTTAACTACAGCATGGATCCAACTTATGTCATTATTCAGTTGTTGTGGAAACACACACACATGTACACACATACACATCACAGACAATATTTTGGCTGTTACTGTAATAGAATCTAGGCCTTTTCCATCTAAGCATAAAACTTACTAGTCCTCTTGGCTCCAGGCAGATTTTCAGTCCCCCTCGGCAAGCCTTTGTACTATAGCCAGCCGCGGGCAGTAGCTTCCATCAAGCTCCCTGGTATTTGAAGTGGCAAGCCACTAAGCTTGGCATGCCTCTGGTGCATGTTCACACAGACTGGGTGTCTGCTTGTCTCCCTGAATTATTTCTCTCAAATCTTGTGCTCCCTCAACCCCTATCATGAGGTCTGGAAAACTACTGATTTGGTCATTATCTTTTTCTTTGATCAGTGAGTCACCTTAGCAGGTCAATTTAGGTTAAAAAGTCACTCTAGTGCCTGGTTTATTATCTCGATTGGCTGTTATATTGAGTAATTAGATAATGGCTTAACTTCAATTTCCATTTGTGGTCTATTAATATAACCTTGAAACATTTAAACCCAGGTAAAACTTTTTCTTTTATTTCATGCTTTTACAAATAATATGTTCATGTATTTTTTATCCTCCAGCATCCAGATTTTTATCTTTAAATGCCATTTCCCACTAAAAGGAACCAGAGCTCTCTGGAGAAATGGCTGACTCCACAACTGGGGCAGGAAATGTATATCAGGTAAGTCTGGAAGAAAACAATGGAGAAAGGAAGAGTGGGAAGAGTGATGCAGATGAAACAAGATTGACATGATTTGATAATTGTTGAAGTAGGGTGTTGGGTACACGTGGGAGTTCTTTATTCTTTTATGTATTTTAAACTTTTTCCATAAAAATAGTTTAAGGAAAGTTAAAAATGTTATTTTCTAAACTGAAGGAGTAATAGCGCGCCCTTTGTAGAAACAAAAGATTTCTACAAAGAAAAGTGAAGTCTCCCTCCGACTCCAGACCCTTACACCCCTCCTCAGGGCAATCCTAGGAACAATTTCCCACGTAGCTGTCAAGAAAGTTTCCACGAAAATATTTTTAAATGTACATACTCATAAAATACAAATATTTTTAAAACCACAAATGGTAGCGTATTATACACGTTATTTTATGCCTTCTGAAGTTTTATTTTCTATTTTAATACAATGAATATGTCTACACATTACAATATTATGGATTTTTATGCTTTACAATTGAGCTTCTTCCTTCAAGTTTCTTTGATTTATTCAAGAGATAAAAGGCCTACAGCTTCATATTCCTCAGGATTATTTACAAAAAGAAGGATGGCTCAGCCAAGGCTAAATTTAGGTTACAGTTCCTAATATTAACAGTTTTCAAGTTTAGGTTTCAGCTTTTGGGACATTATTGTTACCCTGAAAAATATCATGTTTAAAAACACCTCACACCTCTACTATAGATTGGATCTTGGGAAATAGGGTTGAGGACGGGATCAATATAACCTCCGCCCCGGCGCATACCCGGGAGAGCTGCAGACGGTCTAAAGGATGTGGTGACCTCAGCGCTGCGTCCCTGCAGCAACCGGCGAGTGCTGGGGCACAGGCCATATCCCCCTAAGCTCGGCATCGCCTGCACCTCTCACAAGTGCTCTGTCCGCCACAGTAACGCTCTATGGAAATTAAAGTTGTAAGGCGAACGACAGAAGGAGCCAAACGAGGTGGATCCGGAGCGGCCACAAGGTGCCTGTGCTGCTGGCTTTTAACACACAAAAAGAGAAGTGCCAAGGAATACAAGAAGCCACAGGGGGAATAAAAAGCGACATATCTGCATGGAGCCTAAATTTCGCTCGATGATTTTCAGGGAAGACGCATTCCATATTAAAAACAAACATTGCTATTTTACGGGAATACCGGATTTAAAAATCCACACAGATTCGCAACATAAAACAGGCAGCCCAAAGACACGTCCGCGGTGTCCTGACAGTTCCGGCTCCGCCCGCGGGCCACGAGGCGGGGATCGACGGTCACTCTCCTCGGTTGCCCAGAGTACTTGGGCGGCAACGGGGAGCGCCCGGGGGAGGCAAGCTCCTGGGCTAGGGCTGCGTCTTAGCCACCTTGCTTAGCTCTCGAGGTCCCGCGTGTTACGTGTTAGCACCGCCCCGGGGCGTCAGCGTGACCCGGGGCTGCAGGAACCGTGAACTCCCTGCCCCGCGGGCCCAGGTGACCGCGGGCATCGCTCTCCCGCGCGCGGGGGGCGGGGCTTCCCCCGGCTGTGCACTCAGCTACCACAGCGACATAAGATGGTGTCCGCTAGGCGTCCCAGGACGGCTTCCTAAGGGACTGGAGGGCCCCGACAGCTGGAGAGTCTGCCCCGCCCCTTGGCCGGCACAGGTAGGACGGCGGGGAGCTCAGAAGTTTCGAACTCCAAGGGCCGAAGCACAGCCAAATACCCCACGGAACTTAACAAATGTTTGTGGGGAGAACGCCAAAAACGCGGGGAGGCGGGGCTGGCGCACAGTCACCCTCTCGCGACATCTAAGTGACGTCGCATAGCAAGCACGTGTTCTAGTCTTTCACCTTCAGTCAGCCTCCTCCGTTATATGGGCCTACCCCTTTAAGCAAGTGATGGACAGTTATTTCAGCCTATCAACTTCCTTGCAGACATCCAATCAGATTTAAACTTCTTTTAGCCGCCGGAGGAGTTGGAAAAAGGGGGTCGAAAGAGGGAGCTCACCGTCTCTCGCGATATCGCTGTGAGCCTGCCTCTCCAAAAAACGCCGAAACTTGGCCCCACCTCCCAAATAGTGGTTTAAAGGACGGGTTTATAAGCCAATGAAAGGGATGAGGAGGCGGGGTTGCTGCTTTCACTGAGCAAGAAGTACCGTTACAGGGCAGACTTTTTGTCCAATCAACACAGCTACACTTTGGGTCACGTGACCGCAGAGTGCGAGGGGCGGAGCTACAGCCTGGCGCGAGGAACCGTTAAGATAGACAACAAATGTAACCAATGAGGTACTCTGACTAGGGGGTTGGGAACCCAATAACAGTGGTTGGGCGGGCGCCTTCCTGGAGCGCGGGGAGATGTAAAGATAGACAAATAATTTTCCCAATGAGACTGTAGAAGAGAGAGCTAATTGGCCAATGAGGACTGCGGGGCGGGACCCTGTGCCGCGGCGGAGTCCAAGATGGCGGCGTGCGGTTCCGCTGTGTGAAACGAGCGCGGGGCGGCGGGTTGATCAGCTCCGCGGAGACGACCTCCGAGGACCCGCAACAATGAAGGGAAAAGAGCGCTCGCCAGTCAAGGCCAAACGCTCCCGTGGTGGTGAGGACTCGACTTCCCGCGGAGAGCGGAGCAAGAAGTTAGGGGGCTCTGGTGGCAGCAATGGGAGCAGCAGCGGAAAGACCGATAGCGGCGGCGGGTCGCGGCGGAGTCTCCACCTGGACAAGTCCAGCAGTCGAGGTGGCAGCCGCGAGTATGACACCGGTGGGGGCAGCTCCAGTAGCCGCTTGCATAGTTACAGCTCCCCGAGCACCAAAAATTCTTCGGGCGGGGGCGAGTCGCGCAGCAGCTCCCGGGGTGGAGGCGGGGAGTCACGTTCCTCTGGGGCCGCCTCCTCAGCTCCCGGCGGCGGGGACGGCGCGGAATACAAGACTCTGAAGATAAGCGAGTTGGGGTCCCAGCTTAGTGACGAAGCGGTGGAGGACGGCCTGTTTCATGAGTTCAAACGTTTCGGTGATGTAAGTGTCAAAATCAGTCATCTGTCGGGTTCTGGCAGCGGGGATGAGCGGGTAGCCTTTGTGAACTTCCGGCGGCCAGAGGACGCGCGGGCGGCCAAGCATGCCAGAGGCCGCCTGGTGCTCTATGACCGGCCTCTGAAGATAGAAGCTGTGTATGTGAGCCGGCGCCGCAGCCGCTCCCCTTTAGACAAAGATACTTACCCTCCTTCAGCCAGCGTGGTCGGGGCCTCTGTAGGTGGTCACCGGCACCCCCCTGGAGGTGGTGGAGGCCAGAGATCACTTTCCCCTGGTGGCGCTGCTTTGGGATACAGAGACTACCGGCTGCAGCAGTTGGCTCTTGGCCGCCTGCCCCCTCCACCTCCGCCACCATTGCCTCGAGAGCTGGAGAGAGAAAGAGACTACCCGTTCTATGAGAGAGTGCGCCCTGCATACAGTCTTGAGCCAAGGGTGGGAGCTGGAGCAGGTGCTGCTCCTTTCAGAGAAGTAGATGAGATTTCACCCGAGGATGATCAGCGAGCTAACCGGACGCTTTTCTTGGGCAACCTAGACATCACTGTAACGGAGAGTGATCTAAGAAGGGCGTTTGATCGCTTTGGAGTCATCACAGAAGTAGATATCAAGAGGCCTTCTCGCGGCCAGACTAGTACTTACGGCTTTCTCAAATTTGAGAACTTAGATATGTCTCACCGGGCCAAATTAGCAATGTCCGGCAAAATTATAATTCGGAATCCTATCAAAATTGGTTATGGTAAAGCTACACCCACCACCCGCCTCTGGGTGGGAGGCCTGGGACCTTGGGTTCCTCTTGCTGCCCTGGCACGAGAATTTGATCGATTTGGCACCATACGCACCATAGACTACCGAAAAGGTGATAGTTGGGCATATATCCAGTATGAAAGCCTGGATGCAGCGCATGCTGCCTGGACCCATATGCGGGGCTTCCCACTTGGTGGCCCAGATCGACGCCTTAGAGTAGACTTTGCCGACACCGAACATCGTTACCAGCAGCAGTATCTGCAGCCTCTGCCCTTGACTCATTATGAGCTGGTGACAGATGCTTTTGGACATCGGGCACCTGACCCTTTGAGGGGTGCTCGGGATAGGACACCACCCTTACTATACAGAGATCGTGATAGGGACCTTTATCCTGACTCTGATTGGGTGCCACCCCCACCCCCAGTCCGAGAACGCAGCACTCGGACTGCAGCTACTTCTGTGCCTGCTTACGAGCCACTGGATAGCCTTGATCGCAGGCGGGATGGTTGGTCCTTGGACCGGGACAGAGGTGATCGAGATCTGCCCAGCAGCAGAGACCAGCCTAGGAAGCGAAGGCTGCCTGAGGAGAGTGGAGGACGTCATCTGGATAGGTCTCCTGAGAGTGACCGCCCACGAAAACGTCACTGCGCTCCTTCTCCTGACCGCAGTCCAGAATTGAGCAGTAGCCGGGATCGTTACAACAGCGACAATGATCGATCTTCCCGTCTTCTCTTGGAAAGGCCCTCTCCAATCAGAGACAGACGAGGTAGTTTGGAGAAGAGCCAGGGTGACAAGCGAGACCGTAAAAACTCTGCATCAGCTGAACGAGATAGGAAGCACCGGACAACTGCTCCCACTGAGGGAAAAAGCCCTCTGAAAAAAGAAGACCGCTCTGATGGGAGTGCACCTAGCACCAGCACTGCTTCCTGCAAGCTGAAGTCCCCGTCCCAGAAACAGGATGGGGGGACAGCCCCTGCGGCAGCAGCCTCTCCCAAACTCTGTTTGGCCTGGCAGGGCATGCTTCTACTGAAGAACAGCAACTTTCCTTCCAACATGCATCTGTTGCAGGGTGACCTCCAAGTGGCTAGTAGTCTTCTTGTGGAGGGTTCAACTGGAGGCAAAGTGGCCCAGCTCAAGATCACTCAGCGTCTCCGTTTGGACCAGCCCAAGTTGGATGAGGTAACTCGACGCATCAAAGTAGCAGGGCCCAATGGTTATGCCATTCTTCTGGCTGTGCCTGGAAGTTCTGACAGCCGGTCCTCCTCTTCCTCAGCTGCATCAGACACTGCCACTTCTACTCAGAGGCCACTTAGGAACCTTGTGTCCTATTTAAAGCAAAAGCAGGCAGCCGGGGTGATCAGCCTCCCTGTGGGGGGCAACAAAGACAAGGAAAACACCGGGGTCCTTCATGCCTTCCCACCTTGTGAGTTCTCCCAGCAGTTCCTGGATTCCCCTGCCAAGGCACTGGCCAAATCTGAAGAAGATTACCTGGTCATGATCATTGTCCGTGGTGCGTCCTAAAGTCCATGTGTAACTTGTATTTACTACTTTGACATGGTTCCTGTTTTGTGATGTGTAATGGGATACAGCATCAGATGCAATTTTCTTTTTAGTTGTTAGTTGTAGCATTTTCTTTTTTATATTTTTATAAACGTCTTTAAAATAGAAATCAGGACAGTTTAGCTATTTTTTTGTTTGTTTAGCTATTATTTTAAGTGAAAGGGATGCCCTAAAGGTAGCAGGCAGACAGATTTGCTTTAATTAGGAGTTCCCACCCTTATGAGTAATTTTTTTCCTCTATTCAGTTTTTTTTTTTTTAAATCTTGAGCCTAAAAAATCCTCTGAGTTACAAAACCAAAACTTTGAAAAGTCAGAATTTGGAGAAAGGAGTCCACTGACCATACAAAGAGAGTAATAGCCACCTAAAAATGACTTGATTGGTGTGTAGGTAGATAATTCTTTTACCAGAAATGTGTGTGACTGAAATTTGATCAGGGATCTCAAAGGTATGCTGGTAAATTGTTTAGCAATGTAATTATTTTAATCAGGTATTTGAATATTTCTTAAGATACAGTTTATTCCCAGAGAGTTTGCTTTAACATGCATTTTTAAAATCATTTGTTCTAGAGTTCTGTATCCCGTGTATGCACTTTTGGTTTGTAGCAGTAACTGTTCAGTAAAAATTAAGGACTATGTTACAAACCATATATGTCTTATGCTTACACTAGTATGCAAGAAGTGAGTAGGTGCTTTTAAAATCAGAATTCTTTGGTCAGTTATTGGTGTGTGGTGATGTTTTTACTGACTTTTTCAGAGAGGTGTAGCAGGTACAGTTCTAATTGTGCATATTTCAAAACTGTTCTTCATCAAAGATGAGTTTTTGATTTTGTATCCATTCAAATTTCTGGTTTCAATAATAGAAAGAAGAGTTGTCTGCAGGCTCATAGTCATCTTTTATTTCAGTGGGCATTTAAAGCAGCCATATTTGGATTGCAGACTTTCTTAAAAAGTCATCATAAAATGCCTTTGACATGCTCTCTTAAAATTTTGCTTGTCTTTTTATTTTCATATTTAAACACTAGTGACATTACATTATTGGAAATGTTTTGAACATCTTGGAAATTTTATGTTTAGTATTCTCACTGCTGTCCAGCTACGGAATTGAAATGTCAGTGTAGGAAAATCTTTTTTTATTGTTTTATTTTCCCAGACACCTGGAATTAATACAGGATCATTTAACTTACCCTCACAGTTTTTTTTTTTCAAAGGTGATAATGACATCAACCTCTGGTTCTCAACAAGGACTTTTGCTGCTTAACAGTAATGGATTTTTTTTTTTTTTTTTTTTTTTTTAAATCTATCCCCTCTGTCCCACCCCTAATTTGTCAGGTCATTAGTAAGTATATTTTTCTCCCTTGATTTAAATGCTGAAGACTTCAACTAAGGCCCTTGATATTTAATTATGATTAGAGACTTTTGGACCTTTTGGATCATGGTCATGTTTCTGTTCTGTGAAAGTGACTTAACTTGAAGCCTGGCAGAACCCAACTGTTTTCTTTCTGTTATCAAAGCTGGAAGTTTTGAAATAGCACCAATAATAACCCAGGGAAATGTCATGTAATTTTTATTTTCCATTATGACAGGTGTCTAATGCATGTCAGCACAAAAGTGTCATCACTGCTGTGTCATCCCTCTTGGTTTTCACTATGCATTTATAATTTTTTTAAGTTTGCAGGTTTTGTGGGGTTTTTTTTGTTTGTTTCTTTTTAAACTGGAAAAACTAGCCATTTTGAGAGAAGGAGGGTTCTAGGCTATGAGCATGAAGGTCCTTGTACCTCTTAGGAAAATACTATGCTTCTTGCTTTCAAAAAGCAGTGCTTGGTTTGGAGTAGACACCTGTTCAGAAACTAATGCAAGTGTGAAGTCTGTGCATACATGGGCTCATAGTATAATTTGTGGCCAGCTACATTTTTCCAGTTTAAATAATCTCACTAACCATTAACTTTTGAGTATCTTTTGTTGAGATAGTTGGACAAATGATTTTGCTCTTTTGGAGAGTGAAGTCCATGACATCTAATTTTACTATCATCCAAAATGTGTGTTTTATTTCTTTTCTTTTTCTTTCTTTCTTTTTTTTTTTTTTTTTTTGTTAGTGTGACAGCTTACAGAAGAGTACTATGGTTTTGCTCCATGTTTGTTTGAATCTTTACCTGACATTGCTACTTTTGTTAGGTCTGGGCAATTTGTGCTTCAGTGTTTTTGAAACAATGGCTTGATACCATTTCTAAATGTATGTATTATAAAAAACTAATTATGTTTAGTTGGTCATTACCTACGAGTGCCATAGTCCACATGAACCGCTTATTTGTACTGCCTATTCTTTTGTGCGGGTTCATAATATCCATAAAGTATCTAGTTAAATCTTAAGAATTTGAATGAAAACAAAAGTCTACAACTGGTTCTACTTCTCATTAGCCAGGATTTAATAATCCCAACGTTGGATGTTCTTTGTAACAACCAATTTTTTTCTTTTTTCTTTAATTATTTTAATGTAGTTGATTTTTCTGAAACTCAGTTAAAATGAATGGAAAGAAAACTTCAGGATATCATTTAATGACTATTAAGTATTATTGGTAAAAACGTGAAGATAAGACTTTTAGATCACAGCTTCCAATTTTATGGGAAATTAAGCAATCAATACCTAGCCAATAGTTCTGCTTAACTTACTGGTTAAGTATTTTGTTGGGATTCCTGTAAATAATTTTTCACACAAAGTTTTAAATTCCTGGTGTACTTTGACTCTCAACTGAGAGTGGATAGAGTTTTTCTTTTGAGGATTACATCTTAAAATGTCCATCCCCTGACTGGTTATAAGCATTTGTCACCTTTTGAAGGTAAAATATACTCTGGCCCTTCTTGACTCACTTACAGGTCATTTTAGGTCCAGTAGTAAGAGTCAGGTGTTTGGTTATTGCTTTCAGAGTCAAACATTCTTTAGGTTTATTTAAAAACTATTAGCAGGTTTTCACTGACAATGCTTTTTTAAAAATAAAAAATGTAAATCCAGTTTTTAAAGACAGATTTTTCATTATGCATATACAGCTTGAACTATAGTTTGGGTCCATATAGGAACCATTCACCAAAAACTCTGGTAACAGAATTAGGAAATCCTCTTGAGAAGAGGGCCTTAATGACCTTTTATGTGAAAAAAATTTTGGAGAGAATTTCTGGACATTTTTTTTCTGTCTCTGCCACAGTGTTTGGTTTTGAGATAGGAGTTAGGTATGAGAACAAGAAGAGAGAAAACATGGCGCTGACCTTGTTATAGTGGTTATAGTGGTGTCCCTAAAGGGAGAAAATGATTTCAGGTAACCACAGTGAAATGTTAAGCTTAATGAAGAGTTTTATATGTATGGTTTAAAACAGAGTTGAAAAGTGAGAGTCCTGAAGTGTTCTTTGGCTGTTTAACAATTATTTGTATGAGTGTTTTCTTAAAATAATGGCTGTTGTCTTTGGTAACATAGATGAGGGTGGATTTTTAAATGGCTTTGTATCGACCCCTTTCTACAATAATGGAGTAGTCTGTGTTGCTCCATATAAATTACAGAACGAAAATAGATGGGGCAAAAGTTTGACTAAACTTCACCTTTTTATAGTTTCACTTTTTAAGTTATATTTAGAATATATTGATAGATTATAAATTGATTGTGAAACTTTTTTCTGAATTTTTTCGACATGTTTTACTCAGTTACATGAGTATAAAGGATATTTTCAGTCCTGTTATCTTCAATTGCAGTCTTTAAAAAAACCCACCCTATTGTTCTACTTGTTATATGTCTATTCATACAGTAAATTCATTTCAAGGTTTATGCCAGTGGGTATTATTGGTGCTTTTTGAAGTTGAGGTGAACCATCCAGGAAGGTCTTGTTAATGTTATGTTCATCTATAATGGCATAGGGGAAATATATATATTTTTAATATTGTAAACATTTGTACTGAATAACCTTTTTTTCCCCCCCCTCCGCAAGCAAAACTGGTTGAACAGCGGATGAAGATATGGAATTCAAAGCTCTAATGGACCTTTTTGAAGAGAAGTTGTGGCTTATGTGGAGTTTACATGGGCCTCTGATGGAAGAAAGCTAATCTGTTTAGTATTTGTGCATTTTACTAAAATGGCAGCTTAAAGTTGTGTATCTGCTATTGTGATGCCAATGCCGGTGTTTTAAGTGGAAAAAAAAATGACCTCTTTGCTTTGTGCTGTGTACACAAGATTTCTGGAAAAGTAAAGAAAAACCCTTTTTATGGCTCACACAGCTTAAGAGTAGCTGTCTCTCAAACGTGCGCTCACAGTTGAGCTGCTTTTGTTTTATTCTAAATAAATTGTTTCTTTTGAGGAAAATGTTTTTCTGCCTGGAAGTGAATTGACGGCAAACCTTTGACCCCTTTGTTTGCAGCCGAGGGGGTACTTGCTGCTGCTCAGATCTTGTATGTCTTGAGCAAGAAGCAGGGAGACCATCAATTTCATTTTGACTATCACGGTGTGTCAATTCTGAAGGATCACTAGTGTTACTGTTGACCCCCTTTGTTTGCAGTGAAGGGGATCATTTGCTTCTCGGTTCTCAACGTGATGAGGAAATGGTGCTGTTTGCTGGCACGCAAGAAGCCGGGGCAGGCACCCTAAGCCTCACCACAGTGCCTGAGTCGGGGGCTTTTGCTGGTTTGAAGAGCTGGAGTTGCTGAAATTTAAGTTTTGATTTATTTTGTTCACCCATCACGTTTGGCCTTAGTTTCATTTTTAATTTGAAGAAAAGTTTGAAATTGCTTTATCTTGCACTTAACATTTGCACCAAATTGCCAAAAGAAGGAGAAATGCTCCGTTTGCTTTTTAAATGTTAATGATGATGTTAATAAAGCCTTTCCTGACACATTTGAGGAGCTCCTCCGTCTCCAGGGGCTTCTTACCAGAGTTATGCAGTGATGGGTTTAGTTCTGAATGGATGAAGAGTTCCTGAGAGCTAGCGTTTGTAATTAGAACCGTTACTTGGTATCTGTGCCTTATTTGACCTTTGGTTCCACATGCCTTGGATGTGCATGCACCGTGACGGTTTCATAGGTACGAACGCACACTCAGGCCCAGTCACTTCGGTTGGTAGTACAGATTGTGAGGAAAAAGATGGAGGCATCCTTAAGGAGGAAAAATGTTTGCCTTTAGTTCCTGCATTATCCTGTACAGGGGCTCCTGAGTTTTGGAAGCCTGTTCCCAGTACAGGAGAACAACTCCCCTGTTTGCAGCAGCAGACTTCGGTGCACAGTGACAACGCTGGAGTTCAAGAGGAAGCCAGCAATGCTGCACCATTGGCTTCAGACACCATTGTTGTTGTTTGCCAGTTTTAAACTTAACTAGTTGCAGACGAAGACCACCTTGAAATGCAGGCTTGTTGGGCTTGTTTTGAATTTTAACCTCGGATGGAAGAGCCCTAGTGCTGTCTGTCTCCATGCGGGATGATGATTGCTAGGCAACAGGTGATTATCAACAAAGGATGCCACGGTTATACTCTGCAAGGTGGTGTTCCAGTGGCAAACAGCTGTATAAACTCTTGTAAACAGGTAAGAGGGTTTTTAGAGGTCAAAATGCATTATAATTAATAGGGTGAGGGCTTTTAATGTTTTGGGTCTGTTTCTCTAGATGGAAGCCTTAAGGCACTGTGCTGCCATTACTAACTTCCTTCACCGAAGTGTCATATTTCAGGTCAGAATTTCTGTTTTACTTGATATTTTTCTTTTTAAGTTTATTTTTAACGTTAAAAAAATACTTCTAATGTGGCAGCCAAAGTTTTAAAATCTTGGTTATGGATTTGGAACCTATAGTCTTGATGTCCTTTAAAATTTGACATTTGCTGTTAACCTTGGCCTTTACCCTTAGTCATGATTTAATGATGCAGGAGGACTTACTGCTGTAAAAACGTTGCTTATTTACAAATACTGATTTCTAAACTTCAGAGTTAAGACATTACAGTGTGTAACAGCAACAAAAGAAAGTATGCCATCAGATTGTGAATGATACATATTTTAACCAGGATTTTTTTTTCTTTCTTTTTTTTGTCCCACAGAGAGATTATAAAATTAGGCAACCTTAACTTTAGGGAAATTAACAAGCAGTGTTGAGAAGTCTGACTTTTGTCTGCCCTTAACATTTTCAGTATCTATTTAGTTTTACCAGCCTTCTGAGCCCTTCTTCCCTACATTAATCAAGTTTGAAGCTTTGGCACTTATCACAAGCACAGCTTTGTTAGTATGTAATACAACTTAGGTTTCCTTGCTTTATTTCAAATGAGATCAAAATTTTTGAATAGAATTGTTATTTTTTCATCTCTTCTGGAAGACATCCAGTATATAGTAACTACAATAGCTGATCTATGCTGGTTAGTTTTTCCACAAGATTGAGCTCCTTGGATTGTTTTGCTAGGCAGCTTATGTACCCATACTTTGATAGAGTAAAAGGGAAAAAATGAAGTACAGTGGAATTTTTCAGGTTCTCAGTGTGTCATAAGAATTTTTAAAACAGCTGGTTATGAGATGATGGCTGCCATCTGAGGCTTTTCTAAATGGTCTCTCCCCTGCATTTCTTTAAACATTTTATACTTGTTGGAAATGTCAGTTTTCAGTGTGTTTTCTTTTTCTTGCTAATTCACACCATGAGGCCGCTGAGTGGTTTTTTCCAGTTAGTAAGCAAATATTTTAAATCACTATGGAGATTTAGAAAGATTATGTTACACTTTCTACATATTTCTATATGTCTGGTATCTTTTTAAAGTTTCAAGCTTCATCTCTCTAGTAAGAACAAGAAAAAAAGTTGCAGACAGGGCATTTGTTTATTTGTATATAAAGCCATGTCATAAATAATGGGAAGGTACACAGCATGACAATTTTTTGAAATTACTCATGAAATCATTTTATTTATTCCCAGCTGCACTGTGGAAAAAGTTAACTGGATTGAGTGTTAGATTCAGTGTTCTGGTTTTATAAATTGGAAACTTCCCTTTTGAAGTATTTGTGTGGTTTCCCAGTGTCCTTCATATGATCTAAATTTAGGGTTCTGTAAAGGAACTACTTCCAGGAACACCTCCAAATTGACTTGGGCTCAACTTGAAAAGCTTTGTTGTTAGTACTAAAATTGAAAATGAGGATTACCCTGATTTCAGTAAAACAACCTAAATTTTATAAATTGTCACTTCCATAGCTTAAGTTGTATAATTGTTTGTAAGCTGTTTATCTGAGGCAATATATTTAGTATTTACAGCTTATAGAACATCTATTTTTCTTTTGACAATAGTATATCTGATTATGGCTTCTGACCATCACCTCTATCTCCCATTTCAGTTTAGTCTTTTTGAGCTTCCCTGTTTAAAGATCCTTTAACTTAATAACTTGAATTATAATCTAGTTTTAAAATCTTGGCAGAGGAATTTATTGAATAGCAAAATTTCTTCAAACCTCAGACAAGTTTGGTCTTAGCAACCAATAAGTTTTTTTCATCTATCTGTTCTCTTCAGCAACTTGTACTCTTAACTGGAGAAACTATTAAACAGGTGAATAGTTAATTTCTAATGAATTTTTTTTTCCCGTCGCCCAGGCTGGAGTGCAGTGGCATGATCTCAGCTCACTGCAACCTCTGCCTCCCGGGTTCAAGCGATTCTCCTGCCTCAGCCTCCTGAGTAGCTGGGATTATAGGCGTGTGCTGTCACGCCTGGCTGATTTTTTTGTAATTTAATAGAGACAGGGTTTCACAATGTTGGCTAGGCTGGTCTCGAACTCCTGGCCTGAAACAATCCTCCCGCCTCAGCCTCCCAAAGTGTTAGGATTACAGGTATGAGCCACTGCGCCCTGCCTCTAATGAATTTTTATAGGTGATATAGGTGTATGAATGAGCATATGAACAGGTTACTTAAAACAGGGATGGTCAAGAAAGGCTTTACAAAAGAATTTGTTAGAGTAGGACATGGAATGGTGGAGAGAGGTTGGGATGGACGTGTCAGGCAGACAAGCATGAGTAAGAATATAGCAGCTTGTGGATTGATGGAAAAGATAAGATGCAAACTGAAGCCTGGAATACTAGTAAAATGGTTGGGTCAACAAAAATAGGGAATCCTGAAGGGTACGCCCGTTTGAGGGGTGGAGAGTGGAAACAGATCATTTGGGGCACATTGATAGCAGTCATTTATTGACTGTCTACTTCAAGCTAAAGATTCTGCCAAGTACTGTACACACATTGTCTCATTTAAGTCTCACCACAGACCATAATTTGACAGTTTAGTGATAGAGCCACAGTTCTAACCAGGCCTTTGTCCCAGCTAAGGCTCTCTTGGTTACCTACTTGTAGGAATGAGATTAAGGCTGCAAACCTGAAAAAATGGGCAATGGATTTCAAACTATAGTTTATCAACATTGGCAGTACTTGGGAAACGTGCAGGCCCTTGGTACCTCCCCTAGACATTCTGGAATGTATTAGGACCAGCATGACCTAGGAGTCTTTGTTCTTTTACAAACCCCCCAGGTAATTCTGATATATTCTGTGGTCAGTGGGCCATGTGTTGAGCAACACTGGCCCATAGAGAGTAGAGTACTAAGGTAAACTTAGGATAATGTCATATTTGAGGCATGGGAAGAGAAGATGGTGCTGGAAAAAAGCCTAGATAGGAAAACAAGAATTGTGTTGTCTCAGAACCTGAGAGGGGCTTCTAGAAGATAACTTTACAACCGTTGCAGCAGACAAGGAGAACAAAACTGCAATTGCTATGGAATGTATTACTTAAAATTGCCACTTAAGTAACATAACAGTTTTCTAGTCATGTAATTATTTCTCCAAGAAACTCAATCTAGATTACTATTTAATTTTGCCTCATAACAGTCCTGAAGATGGGCCCCTGTTTTGTTTATGAAATGCTAAAGGGACACCAGAAAAGTTTTGTGACTAACTGAGGGATACACAGCCAGGGACTGATTGAGGTATCTTTGAGTTTTCAGATGGCAATCTAAAAATACTGTGACTATAGTCTTAAAATTGGAAGTGATGCTGGCATTGAGTGTGTACACATGAAACTTATTTCCATTAATGGACCATCACCTATATCTACTACTCCTAAGTTACCAATAGGATTGAGACAAAGGCATTATAGGTAAAGTTTAGTGTATCTTTGTCCTGTAAGTGATTTTTTATATCTATACTGCATTTGTGTTTGATAAGTATAGCCAATGAACTATTCAAAGATTTGAGTACATATTATGTATTGGACATTATTCTAGATCTTGGGAGTAAATTTGTGAAGAAAAAAGAGACATGTTTCTCTTTTCTCATGGAGCTTACAGTCTGGTGGAAGAAAGGAGATGATAAGCTATAAATTAGGGCCTTTAGGCTCCAGATAAAGGTTTGGATTGTATTTTAAATGCTGATTGCTATGGGAAGCCGTTGTAGGTTTTAAGCAGAGAGTGATAGGATTTGATCAAGATTTGACTACCTGTCTGAGGAAAATAATAAATTTCTTTCAAATGCCAAAGAAAATAAGTTATTAACATTTCACAGATTCTCTGTCAGACTGTAAATATGTTCCTGTTCAGAGATCAGTACTGTTCTTTTATTTAAATACAGTAATAAAGGTTTTATTTCTTTTTAGGGCTCATAATTGTTGACCATCCTGAACTTTCAAAGCAGTCTTCCTTCTGAAGATGCCTCATTTTCTGAACATGCCGCTTTGTATTTTCTGCTTTCAATAAACTGTCGTAACAGTTTCCACTGTAGTCATATATAGACTGATATAACACACTGACCATGCTTTCTATATTTCATAACTTGCAGTTTTTCCAGTGATATTTAACCAAACACCCTTGCTAAAAAATAAATTAGAGGGTCTTTTTGTGAAATGGCTGTTATCCTATGCAAATAAGATACATGTGTGTATATAGTTTTTAAGTGCTGAATTTATCTGACCTTTCTCAGGTAACCAGCAGATTCCTTTTTATCTAGGAAAAGGACTTAATGAAAAATTTTTATGCGTAAGCATAAGTTATTATACCAGTGTCTGCAATATAATTATTATTACAGGCAAAATTAACACTTTGGGATGCTGTATACGTGTATATTTTTGATTACACAGTTTAAGACCTATTGGGAATATTAATGTTTCATAAAATTGATTTGCATTTTAGCATATAGAAATTGACTATCAGGCCAGGTGCCGTGGCTCACGCCTGTAATCCCAGCACTGTGGGAGGCCAAGGTGGTTGGATCATGATGTCAGGAGTTTGAGACCAGCTTGGCCAATGTAGTAAAATGTGTCACTACTAAAAATACAAAAAATTAGCCGGGCATGGTGGCACATGCCTGTAATCCCAGCTACTCAGGAGGCTGAAGCAGGAGAATTGCTTGAACCCGGGAGGTGGAGGTTGCAGTGAGCTGAGATCACGCCATTGCTCTCCAGCCTGGGTGATAGTGTGATACTCTGTCTAAAAAAAAAAAAAAAAAATTGCCTATTAGGCTGGGCGCTGAGTCTTGCACCTGTAATTCCAGCACTTTGGGAGGCTGAGGCGGGAGGATTGCTTGAGTCCAGTAG